TCTTAATTGCAGATCTGTTGTCCTTTTCATTCGATATTATGATTTCTCGATACATATAAATTAAAACGTAATTTCATTTTATATAGAGAAAAGGTGGGATAAGATCATAAAAGAGCTTTAAAACATTTACTAATTAATTACTAAAGGAGATAGCTTAATTTGTGAAACTTTATCTGAGAGAGACGTTTTTCCCGAACACAAAATAGCGTCGGAAATAAAAAAACATGCACTCCCTAACTCTCCAAAAGTTGAAAGAATTTACCAGAAAGCCTTCCCGTACACGGTACTCTGGCAAAGTAAGGGAAAAATGGTGATTAACATAGGTCATCTCTTTGTCAGAAATTGCAAGATTTTACCCGAAGATTTGTTGCAGGTAAAGCCTGATAAAGTGCGAAACCATGAGCTGTTCAGTGTTGACAAAGCAAATTGAAAGCTGAACAAACAAAAATGCAAGTACATCTGCAATTTCACCTTAATAAATATATTATAGCGGGGGAATGTGGAGTTTTGTAAGTATTTTTGTTTATTTGTCTGCGTATTTCCGTATAATTTAGTAAATCGTCAAATTACAAAAAGGAGCTTTGTAAACAAAAAAATTGCGTATACAGTGTGTTTGACAGTTTTACCAGTTTTTTCCAGAAAAGTTGAAGAACGAAATTAAAACACAACTGAAAAATTAGATCCGAAAATATAACTGCTTGTGGATCGTACATATTCAACTCAAACAGGTATAACAGTAGATTTCTAGTTAAAGAATATTATAATGAAGAAAAAATATATTTCCATTAATTGAAATAGCTCCTCCGCAAAAAATCGAACTTATTTTTTTTTATTGTGCCTTTTTTGAAGATCGTGTGCGATATGTACAATACCTATGTAAATGTAGTAAATTCAGAGTGTTGAAAAAATAGAAAATATATACCTTTTTGAGGTATTTTTCATCTCTACTTCATTTACTATTTGCGTTTTACATTTTACATTACACTTCGTTACTAATTGGGCAATTTTAGAAGCGATTAACGATGAGCTTTATGAGCTTTACAATGATATAGACATAGTGCAGTGAAGTTAAATCCATCGGCTTTGCTGGATAGATTATGCCCTTCGAATGGACGGAAACGCTCCATCGCTGAAAGTATTCAACGCGTGTCGCGATGCTGATAACAAAGGAAAAGGAAGACCTACTCTGCATTGGAAAGATTCGGCGGAGAACGACTTGGCTTCACTTGGCATTTCCAATTGGCGTCAGTTGGCATAGAAAAGGAACGACTGGCGTGCTGTTTTGAATTCGACTAAAATCGCTCAGGCGTTTACTGTGCAAATAAAGAAGAAGAAAATGTAACCAATATGCAACTTGATGTTGACTCTGTTTAAGATATTTAGGGGATTCCCTTAAACGCGAAGAGCAGAAAACTCGAAAACCTCGAAAGTTTTCGAGGCTGTTTTTGGGAATGCACCTTTTTTCAGCCTCGTAAACAATGGAGAAATTCCGAAGTTTGACAGCTCATTCATAGTTTTTTGTATAATACATCGCATCAGCTGAAATAAACACATATAAAATCAGCATTGAAAATGCCACGAAAAAGTGAAAAATGTAAATTGTATGAAGTTCGTAGAATATTCGGATATAAAGGCAACACTGAAACTTACGAACGACTTTTCGAGGCTTTTTTCGCGACTAATTTGCCTCGAAAGTTTTCGAGGCACGCGAAAATCGCCACTCATACAATTTTTGACAGTTGTTTTTCGAGGCTGGAAAAGTTTCGAGGTTTCGTGGTTTTCGAGCCACTTTCGAGCTTAAGGGAATCCCCTAATTGTGTTAGGAAAGATTCCTAGCAAGAGGATAACTAAAAATTCTGGCCTAACTATGGCCCGCTACCTCTCCGCGGTACTTACTGCGTTCTTAGCTTACCACACTTCGATTATGAGCCACGAGGAGGACCAAATAAGTCCACAAAACGGTTCCAGGCCACAAGTACGGACGATGGGCCCGCAGTGTCCTGGTACACAGCATCGTTATACCATGTTCTTTGCTGCCAAGAGTTGAATGGTGTTAAAGCTGTCCTTGATGAGTCCGGAGGTGATCGCCCTTTTGCATAGGGCCCTTATGATGACCTGGCTACTGTAAAGATATCTAAAAACGCGCTTTTCAATCCTTCTCAAGGTTCGGCCTGGCACAAATTGAGATTGCTAGCACCTCGGCCTAAAAGACCGTGGACCAAGAACCCGTTGCAATTGAAAGTTTGGTGCCGGGTCCAAAGGCACCCTCTCCTGCTTTGGCCTCCATCTTTGACCCATATGGGTACCAGTGTATATATATGGGATCCAGTTCAGTTAAACCATTTGACCAGAATACTTGGTCTGGGATTTGGCTCTGGCATTTGCTCCCAAAGAATATTTCCTTTGACTCAATGCTAGCTAACGTACATATGTATGCCTTCAGCTGATTCGGCCCTCGTGTACGTTTATTTGATTTTTTTTTAATCTTGGTTTTCGATTTTTGTTGATTTATATTTTTATTTGTCTATTTCTGAGAGGTCCCTGTCCGCTTAGGGGAGGTGATGAAACTAGAAAACTCAATAACCAAGTATCCGCTTCCCGTCATTAGAGTGTCCGGTTAATGGAGTGAAAATTGGTCTCAAAACACAGTGTGAAACTTCGTTCTGGGGGTTGTGTCCGATTATGGAAGGCGCTGCTCACCAGAGGTATTCGCAACTAGATGTTTCACTGAATCTAAGTTAGAACCCTTAATTACTGAAAGAAAACTTCTTGAACAAACCTTTTTACATTTTTTTTGTCCTCTTCCGTTACATAGCCCGCCCAACCAAATAAAAAGATAGTTTTGTTTTTGTGTCACATTATCGTAAAAAATAAATCAAATTTTATTTTTTTTCCACCCATAAAACGTCTCAACAAAAGTGTTGGTAGACATTTTATGTTCGTTAGGTTAATTTTTTTCCCTAGATTTTTTTCCAAGGCGCCTTTTTTTGCTGATAAGTTGAACTGTATATTTTGTTATTTGTTGCTTATTCAACTATTTTGCTGTTGTTTTATTTTTTTTCCAGTTTGCCTTTACAAAAGTGCAATTTTAAAATGTGCGCAATACAAATGTGTGCGAAAACATTTCAAGAAAAAATTAGTAAAAAAAAGTATGTTTTTCATTTCATATTTACATGATTTCTTTTCTTCTCTTTGTGTTTAAAGAAAACTTCGCAATCATGTTTGTGCTATAACTTTTCACATATTTTTATGTTTGTTTGGTATGTACAAATGTATGTGTATTTTTAAAAACTAAGAACATCATTTTTTACAATGGGGGTTCTCTGCGTTTTCTAGGGTTTTGTTTTCTTATTTCTTTTACATTCCTTCGCATTGAATAATTACAAACGGCGCAACAGCGTATGTACAAATATTTTTTTTCACAACATTTTTTTTTTATCAACTGAAATTGGCTTTTTAAAAAATAGCGCAGCACTTCTAATGAGACGAGCACGTGCGAAATTTAACAACCAGTTGCAGCTTTTGAGGAAAATCTTTACAATTATTCTATTCAACATTTATCGCAATAGTGCCAAAAATTATAGCATTTTCTAGATTTTTTCTTTACAAAATAAAAGCTGTTTTTTAATTATTTTTTCGTACCTAGTAAACTTATAGCTAAACTTAAAAATATGCTAAACTAGGCTTGAATGAAGTGGTGGGAGGTCAACAAATGGGTTGCCACCTTACAAATATGTATGTAACTAAAAAAATATTTTTTGTGCTTTTAGGTATGTTTTTAGAATTATAGGCATTTCTTGTGCCAAATTTAAAAAAAAGTATTAAGTTCAAATGGTAAATGAATGATGTTTTCGTCAATAAATAAAAAAATAAAAATATGCTGAATAACTACGAAATGAAAAAAAAATCGTATGCATTTTAACAATGTTAAATATTTGAATTAACAAAGTAAAATTGAAACTACATTTGTTAGATAGCTTTTATGTACAGGTGTGCATTTATTTTTGTGAAGAAAAACTTTATGAGATGCAATACATATAATAATATTCGCATTGTTCCTTAAGAATGTTGTTGTAAATCGTTAAACATGAAAACAATTTTGAAATAAAATTTTTCGTTCTCAACAAATATACGTAAATTAGCAAAACTGGAGTGAAATTTTAAAAAAAATTTTACAAAAAAACAAAATTAAATTTTTTTTTAATTTTTCCAATTTTTATTCTCGTCTAAAAAACGGTGCTACTTTAGAACGTAACGATTATGTTATTTTACTTCTGAATAATTACTTATGACCTTTTTTTAATTTACAGATATTTCTAAAATTTTTAAATTTAATAACTTTCATATTGTGAACTTGGAAAACTGAAGAAAAAAAGCGAAAATAAAAATGAGAACAGCGCGCGCAAAAAATCACAGCAATAAATCAGTACATTTTTTTAAAAATTCCGCTCCATTTTTGTTTGAACATCAGCAGCTTTTCAATAAAAAAAGAGATTGCTTTCTGTCGACACAACGACTTCTTACTCCTCTCTGGTACGGTATCAAGTCAAGTTCAGATGGGCGCAACAGCGTGAACGAACGCACTGCACACGAGCGTATATTTGTACTTATATACAAAACGCCCGAGCGGCCAAACACGCGCGCGCGCGCGTCAGCATTCGCTCCGCAGCAAGTTTACTCAACTTTAAACTTATATACGGCCTGAGCGACGCCGACTGCGCAGCACCTTCGGGGTAAAGTCGCGTGTTCGTATATACGAAGTTGAAGATGAAAATTAAGCGAACATTAATTACACTTCATTTTCGCCTTCAACTTCGTGTATACGAACACGCGATTCAACCACGAGGGTACTGCGCAGTCGGCGTCGCCCAGTCCTGCTTATATACATATGTAGGAGTATATACAAAGATGTATGTACATATGTATACTCCTACACAAATGTAATTAGTTTGTAATAAACGAAACAGTAGATACTTGTAGAAAAAAAATAAATTTTTAGTTACAAGTTCAATCTGTAAAAATTTCACGACACTTACTCAAAAGTTACAATATTTGTATAAAAAATCACACAGCGTGCTTAATTCACGCTCCCACTCACTCGTTCAGTCACTCACTTACTCACTAAGTCATTCTCCCACACTCGCATTCGCTCACAACACACCGCCGCTGACAAGCCGAGGTTCTCTTCCCCACCTCGCTTCCACCCATTCGGCGGCAGCCATGTACTCGAATGCCTCCGCGTCGGTACTTCTCAGTACGTCGTCGGCCGCATTTCTTTCCGCACTTTCCACAACATCAGCTCCAGACAGGCACGCGAGTCCTCGAAACTGCTGTGCCCCGCATCGCCACATTGAATGTCGCGATTCAGACACGCCTTTGTCAGGTTCTTGAGCGCGCGGCGGTATGGAAAGCCGCTTGAATGTGGGAATGCGATCGAGGTGTCGATGATCGTTTTATGCACGATCCGCAGCACGCGCAGATCATTGTCCAGCCCATGGCCGATGAGTATGGTGTCGGCGTCGATTAGCTGTAACAGATCACGTTGCACTTCGGCTAACATCTTTACGTCCTTATTCGAGTGTGTACAGAGATCCTTTTCGGTGATGCCGGAGAAACGTGTATTGTAATCGACAATTTCAGCTTCCGGCCGCACAAAATGCTCATAGATAAGCTGGCCATCGTAGCCCACCACCGTCACTTTGGTCACTTCCAGACCACGGCCTGTGAAAGACATTTCACAGTCGAGCGCATAAACCTTAGGCGTGTCAGATTTATCATCACAACGCGGGCGTGTGTGCACAAAATCGGTGTAGGGACCATTGATTCCGACCACAGCGCCGGTCCACACGTGCAAAGGATTGCGCGAGCAACCCTCGGTTTCCTTGGTGCCTGTACAGCAGGTGTACTGCGTGGTGTAGCCTTTACTGCCTGTATACAGGTTGTACAGCTTGCCCCAATGGAAGGTGCAGCTCTCGTAGCTGAGGTACTCGCCTGACTCGGTGACGTGGAAGGTGCGCATACAACGCACGCATTGCTTCTCCAGCGATTGATCGTACTGCGAGAATATCTGGTAGCTGCCGTCTGGCGTGAAACAAGCCGTTGTGGTGGCGGGTTCATCCTCACCAGCTTCGCTTGAGTCCGAATCCATTGAAGGTGGGCTGGAATCCCCCGAACCCTGACCGGAGTCGGCCGAGTTGTCGCTGCCGAGTGTCCATTGTGCTTCGACGCTGCTGCTGGTAGTGTTGAAGGATGTGGTGTAACTGCTGCTGGTGTTGGAGATGCGCAACTGCAGGCCATCGGTTGTATTAACGATGTCCGTCTTAGTTGAAAGGTGGTGTGTGTGTACGCCGGAGGGGCGTGGCAGACATTTGTAGATCTCGATGCAACCCTCGTGTATGGCGCTCTCAACCGGGTAGCCATAGACGCGCAACAAATTCGGATCGATGATATAGCGCCGCAATTGTTGCACCAACTCGGCCTCCGACATATTCAACTTGGTGTGCTGACGCAGTGGCGGGGCAAGCGCGCGTGCAATTTTGCGGAAACTCTCCGTATTGCGCTTGCTGGCGGTAGGTGAGGCAGTGGGCGAGCAATTCGCCGAATTGGTGGGCGAACTCGAGGCAGATGATGTGCTCGACGACATCGATGATGACGATGACGATGAGAGTGAGTATGTGGATGAAGCCAACGAGAGTGCACTGCACACTGAAGAGTTGGACGGTGAGTTGGTGAGCGCATGCGCGCTACTATTGGGCATTGCAATATTGCTACTGCTGTTCACGCTATTGCCGGCATTGCTGTTGTTGTGCTGGTTGACCGCCTTCAATGCAGCAGCTTTGGTGCATTGCTTACGCAAATTGACGCTAGTCGTCTTAGCCGACTGTTGTTGCTGCTGTTGCGGCTGGTGCTGTGCAGGACGTCGATTTTCTTTGCTATCCTCGTCGACGTCCATAGGAATGGGCTGAAGTTGGGCGCCAGTTTGTTCGTCGTGATGCTTGCGGCGACGTTGCTGACGATTTCTGCGTGCCTTGCCAGATTTCTTGTCGGGCTGCGACATGACATTGTAGACGGCGCTCAAATCTTCATTGCTCGAGCTGGAGTTGAGGTCGTCGCTGGCAGCAGCATCGCTAGAGGTGCTGTTACGATGAGCTGGGTTGTGGCGTGCTGCCAACAAGTTTTCTGTAAGAAGAAGAAGAAAATAAGATCTTATTAGTTTAAGATCACCAGGGCGAAAAGCGAATTACAAGCGTGTAAAGTTTAAAACAAGGCGGTTGAAGATTTCGGCGGGTTAAACAAATTTTTACAAATCAAAAATTCGAAGCGCATGTCATGCGGCCTTGTATGAGGGCACGTGGAGTTGGTGGTTTTGCAAACACTAAAGCTCAGACTGATTTGTATTCAACTAGACCTAAAAACTAATCACTGACACGTGTACGAGCTTGCGGCCGCATAGTCGGCGCTTTAAGCTTACCTCATATATTGCTGGCATAAATCATAAACTTCATAAAAAGTAAACTTAATCCGTAAATAAAATCTTTGCTTCCGCATACAAATTATGACAATTGCAGCTGTCGTCGTCGTTCATTTGCGGTGTAACAAAAGTAAATTTGTACGCATTGCTCTGTGTGTGCCTGTGTGTGTGGCTTGTCCACCGACCAAGGGAACAGGCAATCAGCCAACTTAACTTGGCAAATGTTTGTTTGCACATAGTTACTATGAAAATAAATACAGAATTTATTTAAATTTAATTTTATTCCTTGATAGAATTTTTGCAAGTTACGCGCAGGGTTGCCAAGTGCTACTTATTTACTACGGTCCAAAAGAAGAAACGATAACCTTAATTTAGTTGAAGAATGACTACATGAAAAGTTATGGCTTTGATATTCAAAAAATACGAGCAGAGTTGCCATACATATAAAATTTGATCAAAAAATAAAAAAAAACTATGCCTGCATACATATTTATGTCCTATGTACATATGTACACACCAGTATTAAGATAAATGTTAAGCTATTACGAGTACCCCATGACAACTTAAAGGTAATGTTGCCACCTGGTTTTCGAAAGTGTTGCTTTATTTCGATAATTAAGAAATCCGGCTTGACACCATGTTGCTTCATGACTTTGACTTATAGTAACAAATGTTCATGAATAGAGTTCCGATAATTACATAAATTTTATTAAATAGAGTTGCCACATGTTTTCATAATAAAAAATTCTAAAAATACTTTAAAGCTTTCCAGCAAAAAACTTTTTTATAAACTTAACATCAACTTTAAAACCATTAGTAAAAATTTCCCAAATTTCGCATGACAGTGTAAAAGTCTTTGTGCTCAATCTAAGCTCTTTTCCAACTGAATACCCCTGACTGTTCGCAAATCAAGCATTTTGCATGCCGTGAATGTAATTATCCAGTACAAATCTTGTTTTCGACACTTTATAGCCGCACCGCTTAAGCCATATCAAGTCAATCGCTCTCAAATACTTTTACCCACAAATCAAATAACTCAGCAAGTTTAAATCGAATATAATTCTTTCCCTTCATACATTCGCCAACACACAAACACGCCTTTGCATACTTAATCATCACTCGCCTATGCGAACTTGCATTTGCCTTACACGAATAAATTTTATTACTTAATTTTTTTTTTTACGAGTTTGTAGATGTATATAAATATACTTTTTCCACCCACATAATCAGCAAGAGCGTAAGCAATAGAGGAAATTTTTATTTCCTCATTTATAATCGACACAGGCATGCGGCAGGGCGTATACGCAACATCTGGCGCGGTAAACAATATTCGAGCGCACACACAAAATACCCAGTGGGAAAATGTGACGTATAGTAATCGAAAAAATAATCAGTAAAACAACCCTTTCCACATTCGAAAATGCATGTTTTTCCACAGGGCAATGTCCTAAGAAAAGTGGGGCATTCAATTTTGCATTACCTAGTATCGAGAAATGAATGTGTTTTAATATGAAATTATTGGAACTTTTTGTATATATTAGAATGCTGAATACATAGTTAGCAGTAATATTATCGAGAACGCATAAGAAATACATTATATTATTTATCAGGCATTTAATGCATTACTACTTTTCCGACTGGGTACTTATAAGCATACATACATACTATGTGCAATCTATGTATGTACATATATCTATGCACATACTTGCGTTATAAAACGCATTCAAGCATTACTTTATTGCAATCGCATAGAAGAGGCGTGTTTCTATATGCAAATATGTTCCCATATGTATTATTAAATAAGTAAGATACATATATCATTTTCGTATGCGGAAAGGCATTAAGATTTAAGAAATGCAAAGGAAGTAAAATTTGTTTTTGATTTTATTTATTTAAATTTTATTGGGCACTTATTACGCGCAGCAATAAATCAAATGCCCAGACATATGTATGCACGTACAATACATACATATGTACATATGTAACCAATCAAATATGTACGTGCAAATGTAGCAATGCATGTTTCATATTACTTTGCGCATAAATCTTATGCTTATATACATACATGTACATATACAATATGTAAGAATATACATGTGTATGTATGTATATAAGCTCACGTAAACATCTTGTTTTTGAATTTTTTAATTTTGCCACGTGCATCCATACACTAACAAGGAAGAAATTTGTAAAGGTTGCGGCATGTGCGCGTACGTGATCGACAAATCGAAAGAAGTAAAGCTGACTAAAAGGTGAAAAATGAAATAAAAAGTAAAGTAAATAAAAACAATCAAAATTATGCTTACATTTGCGCGCATGTTTGTGCTGCTATTTGAATTTCAAGTGCAAAAATGTTGTTCGGGTATATTTATTGTTTTTTTATTTGTCTTGAAAAAAAGCGGATGTTGCTTCTTGGACAAAATTGTGTAAACTTTAAAATCGCAAGTAAAAATGAAATGATATATATTTTTTGTCGAATGTTTTTTTTTGATGCAGTAAAACAAAAAATATGCATTCGTGTACTCTGATTTACAATAGAAAGAAGAGTCAACAAAAAAAAATAATGAAAAAACTAAATTTAACCAACATTTTTTATCCAAAATACTGTGAGTGCGCTAAGAGTTATGAGAATTTAACTTTTTCTTATCCATGTCGACTTTTTACCGGTATCGACTTTTTATCAGTTATGTTATCGATTTTTATCGATACTGTGTTTTTAAATTTAACACAAATTTTCATAATCGTATTACATAGACGTTCTCATCGAAATTTTTATCATTTATATCATTACTTTTCTTATCATCGATTTCCTTTCCTTAAAAAATCCAAAATAATGTGAATACCCTAAGAGTCCTGAACATTTCCCACTTTTTGGTCGATATACATTTCTATTATTTACGTTAACACACATTTTTTCATAATCGTATTACACAGACATTTGTATCGAAATTGTTATCGATACTTTTATTTTTCTTATCATCGATTTCCTTTCCTTTGAATATTTTTACTATTGTTCTTATAATTACAGACAACAAAACGGTTTGCACACAGATTCAAGCATACATACATACATGAAAAACAACCAAATATTCACGCCACCTCAAGCATCAAGAGTTACACCTAAAAAAATCTTCTTGTGGTACCTTAGCAAAGTATTTATTTATTATTTATTTATTTAATTCAAGCCCTGACAGCCAAAAAGATGTAAGCGACTTATTCTATTTTTGGTGCAGAAATGCATCTAGATGCTCTGCTAGGAACATTCCTGCATCAAAAAAAAAATGTTGAAAAAATGTCGCTTACATCTTTTTCCGGTTAGGGCTCGAATTGTAATACATTACGAAAAGGCACTAGTAACTAAAGTAAAAGTATTTGTATATGTTCATAATTTTCAACATAAGCATGTACATATCTTTATCAATTCATTAACTACAAAATGTTACTAAAGTTTAAATAAAAGTGAATAACTTGCACTAAAATATATCCGTTTAATTGGCTAACTTGATATCACCTTTATTATAATTTTGTGGGCGTTGCGCTGTAGGAGCTTTACAGTTTATTGACTCTACGCACTACACAGACGCTAATTCGACAAACCTGTGCCGGTTGGGAGTGTTCTAAATATACAAACGTTTATATAATACATATGCACATAATCAAATACATAAGTATGTGTGTACTACGCATACTTAGATGCTTATTAATATGTGCGCAGTAAGTAGTATGAAGCACAAAAGTGCCTTAACATTGACTTATCCAGCTTTTGCTTAACCACTTGCCGCTGCTGCTGCTGCGCTTGACACTTGCCAAGGACGCATTAAACAAACACGATTGCGCTTAATTTATGGCCGAAAAGCGAAGTTGTCTGTTTACGTATGCGAGTTGGTTTCCCTACCCCCCTTCCCGCTTCCCTTCCAACTCAGTTGCTGGTTGACTATGTTTGTTTGATTATGAATTTTGTTTACCCGTCACACTTCTGCGTACGTGTTTTGAAAACTTTGCAAACACTTTAATGAAGTAAGACTAGTGAATTAAAAAAATCAACGCTACTCTTATATTCAGAGACGCAAAGCATTGAGCAAAGAAATACTTAATGGGTTCGGGATGCAGCACTCTTTAGTATCTTCTACATATACGTAAATAGCTGTATGTATTTTCACCTGATGCTTTCCGTGCTGAATTCTTTATTCCTTTTTATTTCGTATGTATGATTTTTGATTCAGATTCCCTTAGAAATAATTATGACGCAGTCTCTCACATTGCCGACTAGAAAGTACTTTTGTTATTGGAAGTCTTCTAAAGAGAAACAGAGTTTTCCGATCGAAAAGAATTTTATACCATGTCTACGAAAATGTTTCTTTTTGACATATAAAATATATGGACACCCCAATGGGTTTTAAATAGCTTCTTTTATTTAAGCAAACAAATATCGTTTTTCTTATTTTCCATTTAAAAAAAAACCTATTCGGTAAGAGCTTAACATTTTACAATTTTTTTTGACGACCCTAATATACACTCTTTAAATCCAGAAGCTAACCAGGGGATGATGAGTTGAATATTTTAAACTTTTTTCTCGCTTGTATTTTTGGACAACCCTAGTCCACATGCTCGTAGTTATAGTTACTAGATTATAAATTTGTTTTGACAATTTGCAGTTGAACATTTTTAAATTGCAACTACTCAATAACTCATTAGTGTGATTCATAAA